GTCCCTTTTTCATGGTCCAGGTTGAGGAATGAAGGCAAAATAGTAATTTTGTTATATAAAATGAAATAAGATAAGATTAGATAGAGCATATAGAAACCGAACAATATTGTAAATGATTTATGTTGTAACATGACCAATGTATATTTTCACGACAACTTTATGTTTCAAAGAAGGTGAATTAACAAAATGGACACAAGTTTAAGCTCCATGGCTGATAGAATAATGAGAAGCATCATTATTTATTCACAAGGAATCCATTTATGAGAGATAGAAAACTCAAAATCGAATCAGTGTAATAACAGTGAAGCTTGATGCTTTCATTATTGGCGATATTAGGAGAAATTACAAATTAACTCTCTTTATAAACCTTTAAAACTATAATATTGTTTTGCCCTTTATCTTATGTGGTAGCACCTATCTGTGCTGCAGATGAAGGTTGTTGTGCCATTGGAAAATCCAGAAATATTTAAGGTTTTATGTAGCTTTAGATACTCCTTTATTTTTTTATATACTTTGTATAAGTTTTGTTTTAACATGAGACTTTTATCATGTAATTTTTTTGAACAACATAGAATATGGCGAGTCACTTCAAAAATTAACCATTTTCATGGCTTTTGCACCAGAAGAAGAAGAAGAGGCTGAAATCTTGGAATGGATAACTGATAGAGAAAAAGAAGCGGAGGCAGATTGGGCTTCAAGGAATCATGATACTTGAGTCTGCAAGTTCTTCAAGAAAAATGCTTCTGAAATAGTGGTTTTGATATCAATGTACTTTCAAAAAAATGTTTTTTTATTTTTTTTATGTGTATTATTTCCAGGTCTGAGTTTATTTTTTTACTATGAAATGGAGGTTTTAATAGAAATGTACATTTTTTGAAAAAGAGTACCTTTTTTTTACACTTTTTATTACCAGGTCAAAGTCCAACCTTTATACATTTTTCTTTATAAACATTTCCGAAATGACAGTTTAAAAGCAGTGTACTTTGGAAAAAAGAAGTTTTTTTTGTTTTACTTTTTGATGTCTTTTATTACCAATATATCCAGTCATGTTAAGCCAAGTCTGATGCAAGTTTTTGATTTTTTTTTTGTTTTTTTTTTAAGATTTTGAATAAACATTTGATGAAGGTACATAAATAAACACAATTATATTGACATGGGTGCAAACACCAAGCTACTATTTGAAAACTTTCTCCACCTCTATAATGTAATTGTGGATCTTCATAAATTGCTATTTTATATACTGTTTACAAATGTTCTTAATGAAACTCATGAAACATGCAATGTTACTTTCAATGTAGGTGGTTATGGACAATGGAATATGAGAAGGGATTATAATTGTTGAATCTTCATTTACAAAGCTACATCTCGGTACAAGTTCTACATTTTTAGAATGTAATAAATTCAGGAGTGTGTTTGAAATTATAGAGTATTTGTGCAATAAAAATTTTAAGGGGTGTTTTGGTCCTTTTATGAAGATGGTTTAAAGACCAGCCAAAATAGTAATTCTAGAGGGCATTATGGTTTTTTTGTAGATAAAGGGGAATATGGTCCTTTTATGGTTACTGACAAATATAACAGGTGGTTCAAAGCCTGTTTTTAAAATTTTAAGTTTTTTGGTTCTCAGGAGAGAAAGAAGAGTATGGTGTGATGCTTAGAAATTTTGGTGTGATTACTCAAACAAAGGACATTATGGTTTTTTTTGTTTATTGCTATTTGTGCTAGATTTTTTCAAACCATAATGACCATTCTTGATTATGGAAGGTAG